GCTGATAATCGCTCATCTTAATTAATTAGCATCTTAGTGTTGGTAGGGCAACCCCCACCTTTTCATGCTCTCTGTATGTGTATATATATCTCCTTACTATCTGTTCCATTCTATGCATCCGAAGAAGTGGGCTGTAGCCCACGAAAGCTTATGCTCAAATAAATTTGTTAGTCTCTAAGGTGCCACAAGTACTCCTGTTCTTTTTGCGGATACAGACTAACACGGCTGCTACTCTGAAACCTGTCAATATGCAACTGTGTAATCTGAGACTGTATCATAATACATACACCCAAAAAGGCCAAATTAAAGTTGCGTGAACAGCCTTAAATCTGGTATTTCCTAGTGCTTGACTTTGGAACATTAACAATGCTCTTGAACTTTTTGGGGGTGTAATTATATATAAACTTAAATGTGTGCTGCCAAAGAGTTTAGCGTGAGCAAACTGGACTTTTTAAAAGAGCCTAAACTCCCTTTGAAGTTGAAGTTGTAGATGCCCAAATGCCCTTGAAATTCAGTGGGACTGAGGTGCTTTGCTCCCATAGGCTCTTTTGAAAATCTCAGCCGTGATGCACATTGAATAAAGCTATGCATTGCAAAGCATTGCAATTTTCTGCTGCAATGAGAGTTTATTTTGATTTCCTGAGTTAACAATCTTGTTCATTTTTTGTGCTAGCAGTACAAATATGTTAGTGCTGGATTACAATTAGCTGGCATAGTTAGTAATATATTATGCTGCCATGGAAATTTGGAAGGGTAGTAGATCTAATGGGAAGATATTTTAAGTGATTTTCATTATAAATTATGTTCAGCTAGATTCGATTTAGATTCTCAAGGGATGCTAACAGAAGGCACAGCTCTGACACAAAGTACTTACCAAATAAATTCTGCTTGATGGGCAATCCACACAAATACTTTGCCAATTTGTGTCTCTCTTTGTATCCTTTCCCGATGCCCACACCCATTCCCATGCATTCTCTGTGCCTGGAACTGCCTTCCTAACCCCATTCGCCTTGTCACCTCCCTCTTCTCCTTTAAATCGCTTTTCAAAGCCCACTTCATTAATGAGTTCTTTGTGCAAGTAAATGGAGCTACTCTGGATTTATGCCACTGTAGATGAGAGCAGAATTTGGCCCCTTGTCTCTAATGCAAGAAAAGGCCTGGTGTGCTAAGAGCAGTCAGAGAAGAGCTGCACTGAAAAGACTACCCCAGGATTGACTTCTCCGCCTGACATTTTCCAGCCCGGCATGGAGTTTCTTAGCCTTCAAGAAGTCGTTTTTTTTGTTTGATTCTTGCTAGAGCCTCCCCTTTCCCTCAGGCTCTCCCTGCATGACCAATCCAACCATGTCAGAGACTCGGTGAAAACATGGGTGTCTCCTGGCTGAGTCTACACACCTACATTTTGTAGCACATATGGCACCAGGCCTGTGTTTTGCAACTGAACTGAAGATAAAACAAGTCTAACATATGTGCAAAACACGGCCAAGACCCAGCCAAGCCTCAGGGCACTGCATTGTAACTGGATCCCCTGGAACACCATATTTTAATATAGGTGAGGTACTGAAGAACATGGGCATGCCAGGCAAACATCCCTTTGGTCAGTAGGTAATGCATTCTGATGAACACTGATTTCATATGAGGACAGGAAAATTTCATTTACAAATTTTTATATAACATGAACGTTTACATGATATTGAGGTAACTGAGACAATAGAATGAGTTACCTAGGGAGGTGATGGAATCTCCATCCTTAGAGGTTTTTAAGGCCTGGCTTGACAAAGCCCTGGCTGGGATGATTTCGTTGGGGTTGGTCCTGCTTTCAGCAGGGGGTTGGACTAGATGACCTCTCGAGGTCTCTTCCAACCCTAATCTTCTATGATCCTTACTCTTTGACAAGCTGAAGGCCATGTTTATTATCAATATGCTACTATAGCTACTCAAACAGCTACACTGTATTGGTAATTAATATTAAACCTCACTGGACATTATATACTTTTGTTCTTGAAGGGGGACCCTCAAACCAGGCGAAACATATGCCAACTTCATTGATGTTGAACTTAATGTTGGGACAATTACTAAAGTTAAATTTCTTTGGAACAACCATGTCCTAAACCCAACCCTACCCACACTGGGAGCAGCAGCGGTCACAGTACAAGCTGGAGAAGATGGAAATGTGTATGTATATTTATTATGAAAATCTCAAATTCTTTAGGAACTACAAGGACAGCATGATATATGAGGGTAGTAATGCTTGCACAAGAACAGCTATTTAGAGTATTAAAATCAAAAAAAGAGGAAAAGTTTAAATTTCCTTCCCCACAAGATACCAATGTAGCTTACTGGTACATTAAATCTTTCTGTCAGATATCATCAAGGAAAAATTATAAAAATATCTGGATTTGGCTTCAACAAGTTTTTGTATAAACCTCTGTGCTTTGGGTAGGAAAGATTAACTTAACTGTGGCTTAGGTACTCAGCACAGCTCTTTCCAGACATCAGGCTATTGGGTACTGCAAGTTTTATACTAGAAATGGCCATCAGTGTTTAAAACTTACATCAGGGGGTCTGATCCACTGTCCATTGAAGTCAATAGGAGTCTTTCCTCTGATTTTAATGGGTGTTGGATCAGGCTCTGGAAGAGTAAGAGGTAATGGTCATATGTCTTCAGTTCCCACAGACAGAGCTAGTAGTTATAAATTGTGATTAAAAGGCCTGATCCAAAGCCCACTGAACTCCACTGAAAGACTCCCATTGACTTAATTGGATTTTGGATCAGGCCTTAAGACTGTAGACTGTAGAAGCAGTGTACTGCATGGCAGTTACTGATTGGAAGGTGCTCATTAAGTTAATTCTTTTAAAACAGCATGTTTCAATCAGTTACCCACCAATGGTGTTGTGTTACCTTTTCTGCCCTTCTGAATGGAGACACAATGAAGTGGGAGGTACATTCAATTGGTCATGGTTATAATTAAAAAAATCACACAGCTAAAGTCCATTCACTTGAAACAGAGATGTGCTGGGGGAATCTCAAGCAAACCAAGATGTTCATAGCCCAGTGAACTACGGTACAGCAGAGCGTACAAGTCTACTTCTGGTTTTTGCATTCAACCGATCAACATGCTGAGGGATACTCTTCCCATAAACGTCCCCATCAGCTATTCTATTTATTCATGACTTGGCATACACCGAGCAATCATCATCTCTCTAATGCTGGTGGCATGCAAATTCAACAGGAAAGGAATAAAACCAAAGGAATGAAGCCAAAAAAGAGAGGCCAACCAATCAGGATGATTAGAGTCCCTTGGTGGGTTAGCAGGAAATAATATTTCACATTTAGCACCCAAAGCATTTGCTTGTTCTTTTTGTGCCAATGTAACAATATTCTATCATAACTTTGTCAAAAGCAAATTAGGGTGGCTTACTCTATTAAAAAAACACTGGTACAATTACAAAAAAATAAATAAATCTAGACACATAAAAGCACTTTACGTATTTTTTCTCCTCAGGTTTAATTTCTGTGGCAGTGAAACTGTGCGAGAGAACGTTCTGCAAACTCTTACATCTTGCTAACAACATAAAAAATGTCAGCGCTGTCTGTTAATATTAATAAAAGTTGATAATGCATAACTATCCCACTTGTTTTATCATCATTATTTGTATTGTGGTAGAACCCCAAAGGTGCTGGCCGCTATGCAAATATACAAGAAGACACACTCCCTATGTGGAGGGACTTACAATGTTCAAAGATGCAAACATAGGGAACAAGGATACAATACATAAGCATAGTGATCAGGGAGGTTGTCATCTGTTAAGGAGGTGAATTGTTTGTCTCAAATCAGAGGACATACTGACGTAAATCCTGATCTAAGTTACTCCCATGTGACCCCATTGAAGTCTCTAGAGCTGCACAGGTACAACTGAGTGCAGAGTTTAGCCCAGCTAATATTTCCACAAACGGATAGAAGTCTCACATTGCCCAATGCCTAAAAACAGACAGAGTCTGAGCGTCCAGAGAGGTCACATGGAGGCAAGTGAGCATGGACTAGCTGTGGATGAAGACGCGAAGGAGAAAGGGTGTTTGTGAAAGCATAATTTTTAATAACTCTTACAATCTTGCTCCATACGGGCACTCATAGTCACACAGGATCCAATACTAAGCTGGCTTGTGCAGACAGGCACAATAGCCCCTTAAGTAGTGAGCGTGTTCCATTGTGGCCATACTGGTGAGTCAATAAAACAGAGGACCCATCCAGGGGAATCTGCATCCACTTGCCCACTGAGCATGTGACCTCCACAGCCTGTCTCCACAAGAAAACAGAACAAGAGATGAACATGTGTGAGGGACATGTCTACTGGGTACATTCATAGCACATACAGCAGCAGAGTGTCTGCTATTCCCTCTATAATCAGAAGCAAGCCGACACACCCCGGTGGTGT